GAGAGTGGGCGGCATAGAAATATGACTAATATTTTTTTTATTTTTATTTTATTTATTTTATTTTATTTTGATTTATATGCCGCCCTTCTCCGGAGACTCAGGCCGGTTTACAAGGCGTTAAGCAATAGCCTTCATACTTTTGTATATTTTTATACAAAGTCATCTTATTGCCCAGACAAACCGGGTCCTCATTTTACCTACCTTAGAAAGGATGGAAGGCTGAGTCAACCTTGAGCCTGGTGAGAATTGAACTCGCAGTAATTGCAGACAGCTGGAAGCTAAATACTACCTTTAACAGTAGCATTAGTCTGCTGCGCCACTCAGGCTCAATCAATCAATCAATCAATCAATCTGTAGTTACCTCTGGACATTGGTGTTTCAAAAGGCGAGTCAAAGCAAGCAAAAGCAAGGCAATTCTGCGGTATAAAAACTGTGGGGAGGGGAAGAGGAAGGAATTTGATACACCTAAGAGCCCTCCCTTAATTCTATAAAAAAAAAAGAGAGAGAATGAAAGCAATATTTTAATTAGAGGCAATTAACAGGCACCATTTACCACTCCTGCACACTTTGTGAAAGAGCTTTTATGAATGAAGAAACAGAAGCAGGAAGGTCAAAAAACTGCACGGAGCGCATTCCACAAGGAATTTAACAATGTTACTTAAAAAAAATCAAAAAAAAAAATCACAGTTTTGATAGTTGAGTTGGAGGGGGACTTCGCAAATTTGCAGCAAAACTGTCAAGCAATTAAAGGCAGGATACTTTTGCACATGAACTTTAACTGCTAATTAAAAGAAAGGAAAAAAAAAAAACCTTGCTTAATTGCATCGCGTTCAACCGAAAATGCATAAATGGTTTGAGTAACACTTCAATATGCCTCCCAGCATCGAGTTAAATCTGGAGGTAAACACACAAACACAACAACAACAATAACGAACAGGAGTCATGGGGCAAGAGGAAAAACTTCCCAAGGGAAAGGAAGGTGTTGTAATCTTGTATATTCATATTTCTTTTTTTTTTTTCTCCTTCTTCTTCTGCTTCTTCAACAGCAAGAGGGAAGACTTCTAACGTTGGGGGGGAAAACCACGACTTTTGACAAACAAACAAACAAACAAACAAATAAACAAACCCCAGTGGAATAAATATCATAAAAAAACCCACTAAAGCCACACGCCTACCAGCTGTGCAGGCCCAGTCACAACATCCTTTGATCATCATAAAATGTTTTTCAACCAGGAAGGTTTATTTTTTTCCTTCCCTCCCACACGAGCAGCTCCTGGATTCTGCACGACACAACAACAGCTTTCCTCGTCCAGCAAGCCTGCAAGAGGGCGGACTACAAATCCCATCTTCCTAAAGAAGCATGGCTCATAAAACAGGCGCAGATAGTTAAGGCCAGTCGTCCATCGCGTTTATTTCTCACGTTTAGGTTTCTAGGGTCATCCAAATCGAGAGTCGACCGCTTACAAATGTATTTATTTATTTGTTAGCCCGCCATTATTATTTAGAGTAGAGTAGAGTAGAGTAGAGTAGAGTAGAGTAGAGTAGAATAGAATAGAATAGAATAGAATAGAATAGAATAGAATAGAATAGCGGAGTTGGAAGGGACCTTGGAGGTCTTCTAGTCCAACCCCCAACTTACGCAGGAAACCCCACACCACTTCAGACAAATGGTTATCCAACATCTTCTTAAGAACTTCCAGTGTTGGAGCATTCACAACTTCTGGTGGCAAGTCGTTCCACTGATTAATTGTTCTAAATGTCAGGAAGTTCCTCCTTAGTTCTAGGTTGCTTCTCTCCTTGATGAGTTTCCACCCGTTGCTTCTTGTCCTGCCCTCAAGCTTTGGAGAATAGCTTGACTCCCTCTTCTTTGGGGCAACCCCTGAGATATTGGGACACTGCTATCATGTCTCCCCTGGTCCTTCTCTTCATTAAACTAGACATACCCAGTTCCTGCAACCATTTTTCATATGTTTTAGCCTCCAGTCCCCTAATTGTCTTGGTTGCTCTTCTCTGCACTCTTTCCAGAGTCTCCACATCTTTTTTACATCATGGCGACCAAAACTGGATGCCATTTTCCAAGTGTGGCCTTAACAAGGCCTTATAAAGTGGTATCAACACTTCGTGTGATCTTGATTCTATCCCTCTGTTGATGTAGCCTAGAACTGTGTTGGCTTTTCAAGGTGGGAAACGTATCCCACAGAGTCATTTTCTCCTATTTTCCCCACAACAACACGTGAGTTGGGCTGACAGAGAGAGAGAGAGAGAGAGAGAGAGAGAGAGAGAGAGAGAGAGAGAGAGAGAGAGAGAGAGAGAGAGAGAGAGAGTGAGTGACTGGCTCAAAACTCACCCAGCCAGCTTTCATGGCTAAGACAGGACTTGAACTCAAGACCTCCTCCTACCTTACTTTCTAGCCTGGATGCCTTCACCTTTAGACCAAACTTGCTCCTTCAAACGAACCCCCCACCCTCCTTCAAGTTCACTTCTTCGACATCCAGGGAGGTTTGGGCAACCATGAAATGTTGTTTTGCTGATGCCTCTCTCTTTCCTAAGTCTATATAGCCCTGGGGTTGAGCGTCTCCCTTCACAAAACAAAAAAAAAATCATCCTTTAAAATAATTTAGCAATGTGCAGTCATTCACCGGATGTTCTCAGCCTGGTAGGAAGGCTGAGAAAGTTGACGGAGCACACATGTTACGTTCACATACCATGTAGATTGTCTACAATTTGAGATTTGTGCAAACAAACAAAAAACCAAAAAAAACCAGGTTGACCTTCATGGTTGCATAAATGGCTTCTAATTGTCTCAAAGGAATGGGAAAAGCCACATGAAAAGGGCGACAATGCATCTCAAGCCCTCATTCAGACATTGTACCAACCAAGGGAGCCCAAGCGACTTTTCTTTGAAGCATTGACCCATCCCTTCTGAAGACTGGGGGTTTAAGGGTCTGCGGCTTCCAATTTTTAACCTTCTGGCTTTTTCCACCGCTCAACAGGCGTAAACACACCTTCTTTTGCCAGTATGCTAGGTGCAAACTAGGTGCAAACTAATTTTGCGGCAACTACTAGGGCAAATCTAGACAGCCTACTAAAAAGCAGAGACATCACTCTGCCAACAAAAGAGCGTATAGTCAAGGCGATGGTTTTTCCAGTTGCAATGGATGGCTGTGAAAGTTGGACCATAAGGAAGGCTGAGGGCCAAAGGATGGAGGCCTTTGAACTCTGGTGCTGGAGAAGACTCCTGCGGGTCCCTTGGACTGCAAGGCCATCCAACCGGTCAGTCCCGGAGGAGATCAACCCTGGCTGCTCTTTAGAAGGCCAGATCCTGAAGATGAAACTCAAATCCTTTGGCCACCGAATGAGAAGGAAGGAGAAGAGCCGAATGCTGGGAACGATGGAGGGCAAAAGAAGAAGGGGACGGCAGAGAAGGAGGTGGCTGGATGGAGTCACTGAAGCAGTCGGCGTGAGATTAAATGGACTCCGGAGGATGGTAGAGGACAGGAAGGCCTGGAGGAACGTTGTCCATGGGGTCGCGATGGGTCAGACATGACTTCGCAACTAACAACAAACTAGGGCAGTGAATGGCGAACCTTCGCGCGTGCTGGTGGCGGCCGCACTCCGGAAAAGCCGAAACTTCCGGGTTCTAGCATGCATGCGCTCAGCTGTGGTCGTAAGTCGAGGACTAGCCGTACAACGGCCTTGCTATTATTTTGAAGGTATCAGCGGGATTTTTATTCCCCCCCCCAATTTACGTATGCATGTGTGTTATCTACGCACTTTCACAGCCCTATTGGTTTCAGCCCTTCGTGGTTTTTCATGCGCCCCTTAGAAAAATCAATTGTAACAGTAACAAGAGTGGGAAGGGGCCCTGGAGGTCATCCAGTCCAACCCCCTGCTCACGCAGGAGACCTATACTAGGGATTCGAACTGCCAAACTGCCGACCCTTTCTGATCGACAAGCTCAGCATCTTAGCCACTGAGCCCAGCTTAGATCAAGTCCTTATTCTCTTCTTACACAAAACCATCGTTTCTCGGGCCGAGTCAAATTCTACGGTTGCTTCAGATCAACTTTGCCCCAACAATCCAAGATGCTTTAAGGCAGACTTTAAGACCGAGCCCAAAAGAGAAGGAAGAAGAGAGGAGAGGAGACAGCTGAAATTGGCAACTGAGCCTCACAGCTTTCAGAGGGATTGTTGATGTGGAGCTGTTGTTTTTAAAACAACAACGACAACTGGAGAAATGCTGGTGGCAGGGAGAGAGAAAAAAGCTTTCCAAATTCGGGTTTGTGACCGACCACAAAATAGCGGCCTCTTCTCCGTGGCAAATGGTGCCAAAGCTGAAACAGACGCGTCTTCCATTATAACGAAACAGGCCAAATTTGGCAAGCCGCCGTCTGCGGTGGCAGATCGTCACAAAAATCCTAAACACGAGGAATTTCTTCCCATGACACCTCCTGGGGCAGGAGTCAGCAACCTGCGGCTCTGGAGCCGCATGTGGCTCTTTCACCTCTCTGCTACGGCTGCCTGTCACCCAAAATATGTGTCACAACCATCAATGCGCGAAAATCCAAGAAAAGTTTCAGAAGAAAACAGAACGTTTAATTCAAACTACATATGCTAGTTTTGTGGCCGCTCAAGGAATAGTCAGGCACGGGAAAGGTTTTGTGGCTCCCGGTGTTTTCTTTTCTGTGGGAAATGGGTCTCTTTGAGTGTTTAAGGTTTCAGACCCCTGTCCTGGAGGAAAGGAGAAAAACAAAGCGAGCCGAATGACATCCCCAAATATGGGATGACCTACTATACTGGGGTGGGGGGTGGGGAGAAAAGCCCCCTGTTCGGCCATTCAATTCTCCCCCCCCTCTTTCTCTCCTTGCCGTGTGTGTGACATCACCATGGTTTCCGAGGGAACTTAATTGTGATGTCACAGAGGATTATGTTCAGAGGCAGGGAAATCCAGAGGGTCCCCCGGGGTGGGAACAAAAGGATCTGTTTTCATGCAAATTAGACCCCCGAGTGCACAAAATAGAAAGGGTGTCTCTTTTCAGGCCCTGTGAATGACAGGCATGAAGAGACAGGCAGGCCCGGGAAATAAAGACAAGCCGGTGAAATGTACAACTCTCCAAAAGTCCTCCTCGTAGGACAAACCGCAACGCTCTTTTTGTGGTGTGGTGTGAAAAGCTCTCCTCTTAGGACCCCCTTTTCATTCAGGAATTCTCAAGAGAGGGCTGTCCCATAAAGGGGGGAAACCAAGTTTACCACCCACCCCCCTGTGGCTTCTTTTTTGGGTGTCACTAGATTCCCCAGCCCAGCTGGGAAGAGGTGAGGCTCAAAACTGCGTAGATTGGAAGGTGGGGGGGGGGGAAGAGCCACCGAAAAAAGGAGGGGCTTCTCCTCAGGCCGGACGTGTTTGAAAGAGATCCCTTCACATCAGACGAGGGGCTATAAATCAACTCTCCAAATACTTCAAACCCCTTATCAGGAATGGGCTGACTTGGTGGGAGGCTCTCTCAGACACAGTTCAGCAAGATTAGATGCCTTGGTGAATGATGTATCCTATTCGCAGGGAACGATATCCTATTCGCGGACTGCAGCGCTGGGAAATCCAACCTTTTACTATATAGGCCACCTTTTCAATTTTCTGCTTTCCCCCCCCCCCTCTTCACCCTCCTTCTGTTCTTAAATCAGTAAACCCTTGTCTATTCTCTGAACCGCCTCTGGAAATCCTGTGATATATGTTGACAGCAGGGCTGGTATTCAGTTACTTTCCCTACCAGTTCGTAAATGTGAGCGCACGCCCACGTGCGTTCGCTTCGCTCGTGCGCACCACTTCTGCGCATTCACCCAGCCTCAAAAATGTGCCTAAATAAGACGGCATAGAGCTGCGGCGGGTGGACGAGCCCACCTGCAATTTCCGCTACCGGTTCGGGCGAACTGATCCGAACCGGCTGAATACCAGCTCTGGTTGACAGGGAAGTTCTCTTCAGCCTGCCAAGTAGGTAATCCTCGACTTACAACCGTTGTTAAATCGAGGAATAGCTCTACAGGCTTTCTTACCAAACCCCCTGAAAAATGGAAATTCAAGCATTGCAACAACAACAAAAGGCAACAAAAACACTGAAGCTGGTATATTTGTTAGCCTCAGTACATTTCCTGCCAAACTTGTCATCCAGCCAAACAAAAGAGGAAAAGAAGAAGAGCAGGCTTAAAGAAAAAGGAACTTAAAATTTCAAGCTGAATTCTGGAAGCCAGCAGAAATATATAGTTCGCAGAAAAAAATCAAAATGGTGTGCCAACTCAAGATGAAGTCTTTTTGGAAACGGTATATAAAGAAAATCTCCTTTAAAGACACTCCTATCCTCACCGAGGCACATCAAATGTAAGTTTCTTGGGCAAAATAGCAAAATGCTTTTGCTAATTTTCTGGGCATGTTCTCTCTCTCTCTCTCTCTTTCCTGATCTAACTGGAGAGAAAATGACTAAAAATTTTGTTTTTTGTTTTTTAAACAAAGCCTAAACTACATTCTCCTACAATTGCAAAGCATGCCAAACAGACTCGGTGAACTTGATGTTTATATGCTGTTCTTCGAAACGAGCTTACAACACTTCTAAAAAAAAAAAAATCACCCAGACGTAGGCAAACACGACATTTTCCAGGAAAAAAAAAAAAAAAACACCAACAGCAAGCATGAATGTTATTTCATTCACAATAACTTTGCAGAAGGCGAGCTTAATCCCGATTAGCACTCATTTCAGAACCAGGCGTTCTCTCTAGTAAATGTTTTATGTGCAACGGAGTATATTTTCCCCCATATTGCTTTAAAATGTTCCATCCTGTGTAAAGGCAGAACCCGCACAAAATAGGCACTTGTCACTAAAACTCGGGGGGGGGGGATTGGGAGAGACCACAAAAACTGAGATCTGTTGAAGCAGCCCTCTCTGCCCCCCCCAAAAAAAGAGGGGGGGAGGTGTCATTCAGAAGCAAAGTACCCCACTCTGCACTTCAATAGTCTCAGATTTCAATCTGCCTTGTTTTTGTTTGTTTTTTAAAAGCACAGGGCTAGGGGGGGAAAAAAGAAATAATTCCTGAAACTCTGAATGATGATTCCATAAAACGAGATTCCTGTTTAGCTGTGTGTTTGCATTAGTTTTTTTTTTTTTTAAATGGTTTGACTTGTTGGGAAAAGAAAAGTAGCTTCAATTTTTTGCTCAAAGTGCTGACGTTCCCATTATTATTAGGGTGTGTCATTCCTCTAATTGCTCCAGCCATTAAGTGACTAAGAAGAGCATCCTTTGTTTTAACTGAAAATTCCTCTTTCCTTGGGCTCTGCAGCTTCTGTGGGTTTTCCTCCTCCTTCCACTAAGATCGTGGAAATTCTCTGGTAAATGGGTATTTTCTCCCCCAGATCGGAAAGCGGGGTGGGTGGGTGGGGGGGAGGGGAGTAGCCCGTGAGATTGCAAATGATGGGGAAGAGGGGGGAGGGAGAAAAAATAGCAATCCTTCAAACTCAAGTCAGAAGTGCCACTCAACAAACTTTTCTTTCTCAACAGGAAACAGCATCCAGGAAGTTGGGAGGAATCGATTTCAGCACACGGGAAGTTCCTGTCTGAAAAAACGTCGGCAAAAAATGAGCCACCAGAGAGACATGCATATATACCCTCAAAAGCTTTCTCTGTTCTGAAAACGTGCACACACTTATCAATAGCCTGAAGGAAGTCCTCTTTTAAGTAACCACAAAAAAAAAAAAAGCCAAAAAGGATTTCTAGGAAGCCTCTGGAGGCAGAATTTGTGGTTTGATTGATGAAGTGTGCCATCGTCTTGGGGTCCATTCTTAGCAACCAACGCAGAAACTTTCCTCCAAGAGGATCCGTCCTCATCCTTTAGTTCTCTCAATGGAGCATTCATTGCTGCTGTTTATATATATATATATATACCAAGTTTGCAGCCATAGCTCAGTGAAATCACATCCACTATCCTAGGCTTCTTCAGACAGCAAGCAAGCATTTTGCTGCCTATTGGGAGACTGCCTATTGCTGCCTGTGGCTAACTGATGAGGACCAATCAGTCCGAAATAGATCTATTTCAGACTGATTGGTCCTCATCAGTTAGCCACACCCTTACCATATGTTCCCTCCCCGTAGTGGCTAAGTATTTACTACTAGTACTTAGCCTCTACGGGGAGGGAATATAGGGTAAGGGTGTGGCTAACTGATGAGGACCAATCAGTCCAAAATAGATCTATATTAGTCTCCCAATTTCATGCTGTTTATTCTCTTCTTCCTTCCTTCCGTTTTGCCCAGAAATATGGAAGCTGTGTCCAAAATGTGATACAGATGGCCTTCAACTTATAATCGCACTCGTTTGCAGCATCCCCATGGTCACATGATAAAAATGCAGACGCTTGGCAACTGACTCGTATTTAAGACGGTCAAAGACGATCCCCCTTTGGTGACCTTTTGATGAGCAACGTCAATGGGGAGGCCAGATCTACTTAACAACCTTCTGACTAACTTAACAACGGAAGTTGATTCACTTGCGACAAGAAAGGACGTAAAAATGGGGCAAAACTCACTTTTAACAAATCTCTTACTTAGCAACAGAAATTTTGGGCTGAATTGTGGTCGTAAGCCGAGGACTACCTATAGTCTGTGCCTGGTCATTCGTACTTCGAGCTAAAACTCTGGATAGATTTGTCCTATCTGTATGTTTTCCTGGCTATCCATGATAATTCTTAAAACACCAAGATTGCAAAGGCTCTTTAAAATCCATTTTTCTGCCTCCAAAGTGTATGAAAGGGAAACCCAATGTCTTAACGCGACAACTAAACTGGAAAAAAAAAAAGGGGGTTCCTAATAATTACACCAGAAACAGGAAATGGATTTGCCCACAACTCAATTGCTTCAAACCAGGGTTTTTCCCAGAGATTTACTGCCACGATGGGGGAAAAACTGAAGCTCCCGGCTTGCTGGTTCTACCACATTGTACAAATATTCTCCATTGACAGGCCCTGCGTTAGAGGGAGGCGGCAAAAGATGAGAAGCGAGAGGGAGGTGGAGTGTATCTTATTGCTACAGTCTATTAATTAAGGATATATTTCATGGTTATAAAGGGGATTCGGAAAATGCTACGATAGCACTTGCCCACTGGTACTTTTCTCGTGTGAGAAATTTACTTCTGAAGGTGAGATTAAAGGTTTATCAGACTGGCTTGCAAAAAAATCCACACAGGGAACAAATACTGTACAGGGGGGGAAAAAATCTAACTGATTGTTCTCCAGTGGTCATACATTATTGCAGACCAAAGCAGAGATTTGTGGGTCACGTATAAACCAAAAAAAAAAACACAGGAAAAGACTAAAAAGGCATATATTTTCATGGCTATTTTCCTCGCCACTAGAAGTCTTCCAAGACTCAGTACAGTCCAAAGCTTCTGGAAAAGGAATCCATATAGCAGAGGGTGTGTGTTTGGTGAAGCCTCTCAAAACCACACAATGTGTGACATCTGGATATCCAGTGTGTCTGAAACACTGGCCAGGGTGCTAGACTTTGTGTTGACCGAGACTTTCAGAAAAATAATACATCGGAGAGGAAGTGGCAGCATCGTACTTCCACAAAGGCCTCTGGGGCATCCATAAAAAAATTAAAAATATTATCTGACTGCAGGCCATGTCTGTAGATGGAGCTTTTGTCAGCCGTTCCCCCCCCCAAAAATAAATAAAATAAATAAGGTAACCTGGGATACAAGAATTATGCAGGCAAATCTAAACGAAGAGGCTAATGTGAAATCCTAGCTACCCTGAATATATTTCCTTAATTCGCTCATGAGAATCAAACTGTTCCTTATAAAATTACCCGAGGAGACAGACGAACAGTTAAGCAGAACAGAACTGAGGCAGATTTCGAAACCTTCTGCTGCTTGCAAAAAGTCCAAAATGCAGCTTCAGCTTCGCAAGCCTTAAAACTGATGACATCCACAGAATTTATTCGGGCTTTAAAAGTCTGCATCATTTAACAACGACGAAAGGGGGTGGAAGGAAGCAAAGGATGCAAGCCTTAAATAAAAGAAAACGAGAAAGGTTTTTGTGCAACCATTTCAGTGAGCAGAGGAAGAAAAACAGAAAGGGGGGTGGGTGGGTGGGAAATAAGTCTGGTAGAAGAAACTCCAGAAATCAAAAATTCAAAAAGATGGGATTTCTGCAAAATTGCAAGGGCAGCACCTGAAGCTGGAAGCTGGTTACTGCCTGCATCCTTCAACATATACTGGAGCTTCTGTTATATTTCACCCAGACTTCCTAACACTTAACATCCTGTCTGCAGCTTCAATGCCCTTACTCAACTGTTTGAGACAGACATTACACAAACTGGCTAGCCAAAAAAAAAAGAGAGAGAGAAGGGATTGGGAAACCAAGAGGCAATTATAGAGTCCATGACCTTATCCTTTTAACGTGATACCACTGAATTGAACAGAAGTTTGCAGAACCAAAAAAAAAAGAAAAAAGAAAAAGGAGGGAAAGAAGGATACAAATGTCATTTTTATTGATTTGAGGAACACAATACCATGGGAATCCAAGCAGGCTGGTGTTTTTTTTCTCTTGTGTCTGTTCAGCTGTTGTTTTATTATTATTTATTGGTGACTGATAGCGATTTATTCAACTCTAAAGACACGTGGGGAAAAATTCTGTCTCTGGGCATGTTTCCACACCTCAACCACAAAGATTTGAGAGGTCTCTGTGTATTTCCTTTAAACCTTTGGAAAGGAAATTACGTTTCACATATTTCTGTTAAAACAAAAAGCTTATGTTGTATAATATTCCTTGAACCAGGGGCCTTGGAAGTAAAATAGAATATCCCGATAGGTAAGTACTATTTTTTTCCCTGCATATTTGAGTATAAATAGAAATTTTCCCAATGCTCCTTCCCAATGGGCCTTCTTTAGTCTGACACCTTCTCCTTAAGATTTCAAGAGACTGCAATCAAAACCATCCAAAGAGCACCCAATTGGCGATTTACTCAAATCAAGGCTGCATCTCGGCTAAAAAAACAGCAATTGATTGAACATCTTAATAATGTCAAATTGTTTATTAAAATTACATATGGGTAAAAAAAAAAGAACATTCTCCCAGTTTGATTTATCAATGGGGTATCAATAGAGTATCACAGAATAGAGTAGCATAGAATAGCGTAGAACAGAGTAGAGTAGAGTAGAGTAGAGTAGAGTAGGGTAGAGTAGAGTAGAGTAGAGTAGAGTAGAATAGAATAGAATAGAAATGTTCTCTCCTATGACTTTAACGTGCATTTAAGGTCACATTGATTCATTAGATTAAATGTCACAATCCTTTCTATAAAATGATCGCAGTATTCAGGCTTCTCTATCATCTTCATTCAAATGCAAAATAAAATATAATGATGCTCTGGAAGATCAGGGATGTGGTCCTTCAACAATAGCTTATTATACTTTCACAACTGAATAACTTATTTTTGTTAACTTGATGCTCCCCAAAGAGGTGCCATCTTGATAATATTTGGAGAGTGCCGCCCATGGGAGAAGGGTGTGCGTAAATTCGCGTCTCACACCAAGCACAAAAAGGGTTGTCTGGCTAGAGTCTTGTTAAAAAGACACACACAGAGTGCTCATTAGTCCAGCATGGGGATCAGCATCCTGTAGTTCATGGTAACTTAACTCATCAAAAACCACATTTCTCCCCCCACCCCCAGTTGCAATCCACAGAAGACTTTATTTTGAGAAACAATCTACCCAAAAGAGTTGTACTGGAAGAGTTATTCTTCCCAAGACAGGGGCTCCTTTATGGCTTTATGCCTTATACCAGGGATGGCTAACCTTTTCCAGACCGAGTGCCCAAAATGCAAGGCACGTGCGGCCCCCACACATGCACCCCGTCCCCCATATGGCCCTCCTGCATGCGCCCCCTGCATGTGGGAACGCCCCCCCCACGTACATGCACACACGGCCCCCTGCACACACACATACGCAAGCGCCCCACCACATGCATCCCACACACAAGCGCGGCAGAGACCTGACAACCAGCTGGCTGGCGGCAGAGCTGAACTGGGGCGATGGCTCATGAGCCCACAGAGAGGGCGCTGCGTGCCACCTGTGGAACGTGTGCCATAGGTTCACCAACACGGCCTTATACCAATTATGGCGAACCTTTTTGGCACCAAGTGCCAAAAAGGGCGCACTTTGTGCATGCGTGCTCGTCAGGGCCACAGCCAGAAAGAGGTATTGTCCAGCGGGCATGCGCGCCGGATAAGGTGCTTCCGGATAAGATACTTCCGGCCAGCAAGTCTTCTGGTTACTGCAGAGGGATGAAAGAGCCACATGCGGCTCCAGAGCTGCGGGTTGCTGACTCCTGACCTACGGCAATGCATTTTTAAGAAAAAAGATCAGTATTTCCTAACTGCCCGCCTCCAAATGTATGGACGTTGCATTTCCCACAATTCTCAATCGCGGCCATGGAGATTCTGGGAACTGAAATGTGCCAAGTTGAAAGAACAACTATACATACATATAAACACTCATCTGACCATGATCTTTAAACAGTACTCTCTCTACCAGCTACTTGTCCTTCTTGCAGACCTACGAAAATGTGTAAAAAAAAGAGCCTTCTTGAATTTGGAAAGGTTTGCTAAAGCAGGCACATTCTGAGAAAAAGGTTGAGGGAAAAAGGAGAGGGGGAAAAAATCAATTTACAAATGAGGGAATTCCAACAGGATGCTCCTTACAAGCATACGTGCAAAG